TGTAGAAATTGCAGGAGACCGCCATCATTACCGATGCTTGATTAGGATGGCGGCTTCAAAAAAAATCTTAAGGTGATATTGATATAAAAATGTGTTCATACCATCTGTGTGTATGAGTTTGTGATTGTATTGTGTGCGTGCGTGTGTGTGTGTGTGTGTGTGTGTAGCAAATGGTGGATGTGCACGTAGCTCTGTGTTGTATGGGGGATTAGAAACAAATGTAACCTTTTCACAAAAGGAACAAAGAATACGAATAGGAAAAATGCTCTCAAAAAACTGAAACTTAAGATGCCTTAATCTAAAATCCAATTCACATAAAGAAGATTGATTATCATTCTCCCGCTCGTTCGCATAGGAAAATCAACCCTTAATAAAAATTAGATCACTACAATGACTAATCGCCGAAATCATTACAGGCAAAAATAATAAGAATAGAAATTAAAATAAACAGTGATGATGATGATGATGATGATAATGATGATGGTGATACAGATACTACTACTACTACTACTACTGCTGCTACTACTATTTATCTATTTATGTTTCATTATTTATCATTTTTTCTATTTACATGGTATGATTAACGTGAGATTAAACACACATTAGCAGTTGACTTTAAAAATGTAATTACAACCATAATATATTCACAGTAATAGTAATACTGCATTAGGAAACACGCAATGGTTTGGCAATATGAATCAAAAGCTTAAAGGGAAAGTCCACCATGAAAATAAGTTAGTTTTAATAGGAGTAGAAAAATGAGAGAAACAAGTCAGTGAAAGTTTGAGCAAATTCCGATTGAAAATAAGGAAGTTAGGATTTTTAAAGTTGTGATCAATCAAACACAAATTGGCAACTCTATGACGTATCATGCGAGCTCAACTTCCATTTGCTCAGTACTAAAAAAATCTAAAATTTTCATTTTCCCTCAAGAAAAATTTCAACCATACATGCACCCTAAATATAATAATTGCAAATATGTTTCTATACTCCCCCTGCAAGGAACAAATATATATTCCGCCATCAATAACGAAGAAAACATGATTTTATGGAATATTATGCACAAAGCAAATGAAGGAGAGCTCGTATAATAAGTCACAGAGTTGCCAATTTGTATTTGATTGATCACAACTTCAATAATTCATAACTTTCTTATTTTCACTCAGAATTTGCTCAAACTTTCACTCACCTGATTTTCTTATTATTCTGCCTCTATCGAAACAAACTTATTTTGGGGGTGGACTTTCCCTTTAACACACTTCCACACATATACCATTCAATTTAACATACATACATATTCTTCAAGTGATACGAACGAACATACTAAATATTCTAGATACTAAATATTAATACTAATGGAAGTAACAAAACTATTAACCAGCTGAACATTTGTTACGATCGACAGATATTAACATTTTTTTAAAGGAGAATAAAAATATAAAAATAGAGTAACCCTTATCTGGCTAAAATACATAAATACTACTACTACTACTACTACTACTACTACTACTACTACTACTACTGCTACTACTTCTATTGCTACTACAAGTAGACCTACTGCTATTACTTCTAAACCACTACTATCATTACTCTACTACTTCTACTACTTTAAAAAAAGTTGTTAAATATGATGCTCTGTATAATAATAATAACAATGATAATAATAAAGATAACAATACAAATAATAACATTAATAATAATAATAATAATAATGATAATGATAATGATAATAACGATAATACACATGTAATAATAAGGATAATAATTAAAATGATGATGATGATGATGAAGATGATGATAATCACAATAATAATAATAATAATGATAAGTTTTGCCATATAATCTTCAAGAACCATGAAATTGGAAGACTGGTTTACGTTTCATAAATCCTCAGCGACTTCTCCCATCTGCCCTCTTCCTCCTATTTTAGGAATTTTAGCGATCATTGGCAAACGCCATAGGCGCGTTTGTACCTACATCAATGTTGTGAATAATTAATCATTAATTACTAAGGGAGTTGTACCAATTAAAGCTTAATTAAAAAAGGAAAAGGATATTAAGCTAATGTACTGTGGTGCCACTCACTGGGGTCTAATTCTAATTTAATCATTATCATGGTAGATGGAATGTATTATTACTGTGAACAGCACAGTTTGGCCTCATATCCCTACCTAACGTCAATCTCATAATAAAGTAATTCGATAATTACATGAATTTTGCATTTGATCTGAAAATTTATAATTTCATTAATTATGAAAATGTTCTATTATAAGGCCAGGGATCCGTGTGGGATTAGTGAATCTGTCTTGGGAGTATGACTTCATGTTCTATCACAGTGATCACCTTATTTCCCATGACATGCCCACGTACATATCAAAATGAGGTCACTCTGATTTCCATGGTTCCCCAGATACTATAAAGTTTTGAAGGCAATAAAGCATTGCTACGGCTTTATGCTTTGATTAATGTTAACATTTATCTACGCTGTGCCAAAATGATTTCGCAGGATTGTTTTTTTCTTTCCCTCTTGTAAAATGCCAATCACATGACTATTCAGTCACGTGCAAAGCATATGGCTGCTAAAAGAGTCATAGCATTATATATCAATCAAAGCGTCTGTAGAAAGGTGATAAAAACATTTATTTAATGTTGCCGATATATTTTTACGACTTGAATTTCACCTGAAGCAATCCGACTTCCATGTTCAAATGAGTTGGATTAGCTAAGTGATGATAGGTGTTTCACCTGAATATGAACTGCACATAATATCCTTCCACCTTGAACTAAAACTTCATATTATTCGAATGCATCGAATATTTCTCTATGATTCCTCTTCCAGCAGTTTACATTCAGCGGACGAAATATAGATTGCCTCTCGAAACAGCGAATTTAGCTTGAATAGATGGTTATTATAAATACTTTGTATTGTTGTATTTTCGTTGGTTTTATGAATGTTTCTACCAGATCTGGATCAACTGATCGATTATCAGTTGATTTTCCCTTTCTTAATCTTTATCAATATCTACGAGATGAAGAATGGTGTACGTGATGCAAGTCCGTAAGTCATTAAAAACGTAACATGATAAAGATGAAACCCAATATTTTAAGGGCATATATAAATGGTGAAGATGTTTTTGTTTTAATTGCACATCTATTGGTTAAAGAACAAATCAGTAATCAAATCTTTGAAGATTACTTTGAGGAAATCTACATAGGGGACAACAAGGGGCGCAGACTTTTATCTGTTTATCTATGAATACCATAATTGTCCTTGAGGGGTTCTCAATTTATGTCACTGTATTTGTTTATATCATTAAGAACTGAACCTACAAATGGATAGTTAAGAAACAATGCTATTACAGAGAACATTTTAATCTGGATCCTTGTAATATTCATTAGGTAGGCAATCATATCGTCTGTTTGGAGCCAGAAGGGCTTTAACTCATAGACGTGAACATAAAATTTAACACCCTTCTGGCTCCAAACAGACGCTCTATAAAGTGCGAATTTGCGTGTTGGTCTTGACCGCCATTGTTGTATGCAAAACGATAGAACAAATATTGTGTAACCTCTTCAACTGCCGCAATATCACTAGACATTGAAGGTCGCACCTTTACGTGTTAATCAATGTGATTAATACGCCCTAGACTATCACCCAGGAAGGGCCAGGACTATCACCCAGATACTATCACAGAGACTGTCACCCAGAGTCTATCACCAAGAGACTATCACCCTGAGTATGGACAATAGAAGGATGAATATCCCAATGAACCGTTAATTTATGTGAACATGTGTAGGGTGAGACAAAGATGTTAGGTTCTAATCAATTTGCGATAAATTTTCATATTTTTAGTATATACAAGAATGTTAAACAATTATTAAAACAAACAAACGATAAATTAACGAACAAACACGACCACAAGCGTTAGGAGGTGTTACTTGACGCTGTTAAAAAAATGTATTCTCCAAAGTCCTTAAAATTGCTAGGCGAAATTGTTTGTTAGAGGACTGTGTCTCATATATAATTATTTATGTTGTGGAAATCATAGCTTTTCGAAGCTGAAGAAATAATCAGCCAATTCACGTCATGGGAATGCAATTACTTTTTACAACTTTTTTCTTGTTAAGTTTTCGAACATTATCTTTAAGTAGTGTCGGATAGGGAGGGTTAAATTATTACCTAAAGTTATCATGCATGTCATAATTTTCTGCAAATAAAGTAACAAAATATTGCATTATTATTTTGTTCATTGTTAGTTTCCAAGTTCTGGTCAATCATTCGTAAGTACAGTCTGTTAACAAAATTAACTTGCTTACATCATGTTATTCTTAAGGTTTTGTTTGAAACTTTTGGATGGATGAATCATTCTTTGGAATAAAAACAAATGAATCAAATGTCCTAATGTTTGAATTGACTACGTTTATTCCAAATCTTCGAACTCCGTATTATAAATTAATAGAAAGCCAAACATTTTGGAATGATACGCTTTGTGAAAATATCATTTTCAGCACATCTACAACCTACGTAAGTACCTGACAATCTCAGAAACTTCTGAAATATGATTACCGATATTCATTATGGCGCATGCGGGATTAAGAAGGCGGTAGATATACCGTTCGGCCATGAAGCCAAACCGGCATCAGGTCATATCAATAGTAGCACCGTCTTTCCAATGTTAGTAACTTGGCTTTGGTAAGCCGCGGCAAATTTAGACTCATTTCCTGCCTGCAAACCGATTCATCCGCCTGCCAGTCTTCAACCGACAAACCCTCGGAAGACACGTTTAGTGACTCGCTGAGAGCCTCTCCTGTCCTGGGTCTACAGCAACCTTCTCTCTGCACTTACCCTCGGTCTCATTCAGTCTTTATTTTGACTGCAGAGCTCACAGGTTCAAGCTCTCTTCTCCTCCATAACTGTTGAGGAATGCAGTCACTACGTATGCTCAACGAGGTTTGAATTTCAGCTGATATTACAAAGCCAGGGGACAAAATTATACCTGGAGACAATAGAAGAAGTCTTCGTCATGTTTTGTTTTCGCGCGATTTTGGTACTTTCTGTCTGTGTTGTGTACGGGCAGAAGAAAGAGAAGACAAACGTGTTCACCATCAAGCCAGTGTCGTCTATCTATCTGCCTCATTATGTTGCCGGGAAGAAATCCTGGGGGATCAATAAAGATGCAGCCGTCAAAACAGCTTACGATATGGATACTAAACTGGCATACAGTGCTGGTAAGAACACAAAAGTTACTCTTGTTATTTGATTGATGTTTATTAAATACAAACTGCTATGACAAACTAAGTAATACAAACTTAGTTATTGGTAATAACTCATTCAGGGCATTGCCCACATGTTTATGCTTTGGCTAAGTAACTTAAGATTTAAATTTTAGAACAATAGACATATAGCATATACATGAATAGGCCTATAATATACCGACACAAAATAGCAAAAAAAATTTGCTCACACGGTGTTCATTTTTGGTGCGCTGCTAAGAAATTTGAAACCATAGGTTCTTGAAGGGTCAATACGCCTGAAAATTCATAAGTTGACAAAATGTTGGAAAATTCGAAATCTCGGTTTTGCTACAGTTAATTTGCATTAAAAAAAATCTGATAATGTAGACCAATGATGCAGACTATGGCAATAGTACCAAATCCAAGTATTGCCAATTTAAAAAAGGAATACTTTAGTAGTTGTATTGCTTTAACACTTTCTGGTTCAGATGGCTTAAACGAAGTTATCTGAAACGGAACAAGGATACAAGGAGTACCTAAGACCTCAAATCAAATCCGAGGCGTTGATGATTCATGTCAACAGGCATTATTTCACAGGGTTGGATTTGAGCAAGGGGCCCAGCAAGTTAAAAATATAATTGGTCTCTCTGCGTAGGCCTCGGGCAGTATAGTGAGAAGATTTGTCTAAAACAGAAGATAGTGGGGTCACTGATATCATGTATATAAATACATCGCGTAAGAGAAGGGTAAAAATGGCCAGAAAGGAATATGCATATAAATAAGATGCAGTAATCTACATGTAATAATAATAAATAATAATAATGTAACTTATATCGCGCCAAATCCACTTTGTGGAGTGCTCAAGGCGCGTGTAAACAGGAAAAACGATCAAGACTTGAAAAGAAATGTTTTGAGATGAGTTTTGAAAGAATCAGAATCAGATAAAAAAAAAAATTTGATGGGTAATAGTAGATTAATTTGGAAACGTGTTATCTGATTTATATTCAGTGGTATTTTTTGTTGTTATACCAAGTCTTCACGACTTCATCTTATCAAATTATTGTCCTTCAATCATTGTCTTTCAAATTGACTCGACGAGTAAACAAAATCTTTGTCTTTCTCCAAGATTGGTCGTTGTTGATGATAAACCATTTTTTTACAAGGCAGTGGTCATCGGTGTTTTATGTTCTATAAACGAATAGGCTCTACTCGTAACGATTCGTTTTCTGTTACCTGGTTGCCTATTTAGTGAGAGACAAACACTTTTCCAGGAAAATATGAATGTCGAATTCAGAATTAGTCAGATTAAGTTCTTTCTTTATGAAAAAATATTATAGATGATTTTATGTATATATTTAGCTTCATTATTAAGTTTCTGAATATCCATGCATTAAATATATGCACTTTTGTATCGATGGTATGTGCTCACGTAGACACCATCCTTTATTAGATTAAATGAGTAATCATCGAAAGCACGATTTACTGTGTGGACGCAAATGCTATCTGCTTAATGTACGCGACTAAACTTGTTGATTACACCACGGGTAAAAGCCTTCTCCACGAAGGACACGCCCTTCCACAACATGGCCGTATAAATCTATTAACGCGAGGACTGCTTTGCTCTAAATCGTGTTACATCCTTCAGACTTCGTTCATACTTATTAATGTGATTGTTTTGGTGCACTCTGCCAGTCGGAGCCATTATAAAGTGCATGTACGTGATGATATTCTCTATGATGTGTAAAGGTTTACACGGAGAAAGTGTTTATATTGCATGAAGTTAAAGTGTAGTCCACCACGATGATTAGCTGATATTAATAAAAGCAGAAAATATACCGAGAGAAATAGATGAGTGAAGTTTGAGCAATACCCGATTAAAATTAGGAAAAACAAAAGTTTTAAACTTTTTTGAAGTTGTCATCCGTGAAACACACATTGGCAACAGTGTGACGTATCTTGTGAGACCCTTCCAAATATGCTCTGTACAGTAAATTTGATAAACTTCATTTTCTTAGTTATTGAAGACGGAATATATTTGTTTTATACAGAGGTTGTATATAAACATATATGCAATAATCATATTTTGGGTGCATGTGCAATTGAGAATTTTCTTTGGGGAGTTATGAATTTCAGATTTTCTTTTTAAAGTGCAGAGCAAATGACAGGGAGGCTCGCAAGATACGTCACAGAAATGTTAGTGAGTTTTTGATTGACTCCATCTTCAAAATTCATAAATTTCTTATTTCTAATCGGATTTGGCTAAAAAATTGTACAGGTATGTTTCTCTCATTTTCTGCTTCTAGTAGAACCAACTTGATATATCAGGGTGGACTACCCCTTTAAAGAAGTTGGCGTCACCTGTGACTGGGAGGAGAAAAGCTAACTAAATCACTCATTGTGTCCGTCGGGTCTCCCCTCCCGATAAAACTAACTAGGGATTGGCAAAGATGGTGATTCACCTCGATAAACATGGATTCATTACGTCCTATCCGAGGGACGGAGTGTTTCCATTACCTTATGTCTTATGAAAGGGGGATAAACACGTTAACACACATTGCGTGATTCGGTCATCCACCTTGGTAGGATTCGAACCCACGAATCTGTGGTTCGACATGCATGTGCATTACTTACTGAGCCAACTCGCCTCCTGAAATATAGCGACAGAATATAAAATAGCGACACCAAATCCACTCGCTCGTCACTCGTCTGAGCAGTTCTTTAGTTCTTTATTTCCTGGGACAACGGATCATGTTCAATTCCACTTTGAGACATCTTAAGACATTCGAGGAAAGATGAATCATATTCCTTTAAAAAACAGAATATGGGGAATGATATATCGTGAGGATTTGAACCGAAAGATAGGAGAGATGATGTTTCTATTCTCAAAAACACATGCATTAACTCTACACATCCACCACCGATTCATATGATTCAAATAAGGTTAACAAGATTTTGGTACATTCTTTTTCTTTCAGTTCTTCACCTTTTTGTTCACAACCTCTTGGAAATTTATGAATTGGACACTGGTCGTAATATACGTCATTTATTATGTTAAGTTATTATTTAAGTTCAGGGAGCACGGTAGTGAGTGGCTTTTATACTTCACTTTAAGTTGAAAAGTTGAGGGTTGGAATTCTTGACAAAGCATTTTACATCCCTTTTCGTGGTCCGGGTGTCAAGTAGGTACACGATAGGATCCATTAAAATTACAGCACTCATAACTATTATCATTCAAGATTTCTTGTTGTGATTTTCACAATAAAATTTAATATATACAAATTTCCTTACAATAATCACTATTTGGTGGGTCTTGAAAGGAGTCTCATTATAACCTTGCACTCCCCCCACAAGAGGGTAAAATAGAATAAATGATGAAATGATAAAGGGCATAAATCCAATAAAGCTTAAAATCAACAGTCATCTTTGTGTGTGTATGTGTGGAGTTGGGGAGGGGGGGGGGGGGTTATAAGTGATTCATGTACAATCTGTTGACTTATCGGTCGACATCGGTGACCAGTATTGTGTTCATAATTCAATTTATTATTAAAGTATTGTTGCATATAGTCTCCAGCTTACATAACTTTGAAGAAAAAAAAAAAGCCTGTAAGATAGTTGTAAGCTTTCTTGGAAGTCCATTTTCTGCTAACATATTTGATAACATATTAGTTTTGAATTTGAGATGAACTGATATTTACCCAATACAATATTAGCTCATTGGCCAGAAGAGATTTCTTTCATAATAATTTTTATTGATGTCAACTCAAACATGTATTCTAACAAAAAAAAAAAAAATTAAAACGACATTTAAGGGCCACGTTAATTAACGCAATACATTTCGGATGCCATTATCTATAGTCAGAGTGCGACGAATTCCTTTTTTTAGATCTTCATGAAATAAACTCCCAGGACATATGAAAATAATTTGACCTCGGGTAGAGGCCTTCAGGTTGCCTGTATCGGACAGACGATAGAATAACAAGGCTGGGCTATTTTAAGAAGACTCAATACAGCGCCTTTGTCCACAATGAATTACGTATCATTATACTCTGGCAAAGACATCCTATTGTCTTAGGGTATATCCCTTCAAATACAAATTAATATTGCTGAATTATCCAAATTGAGGCGAAAATGAAAGCATGTATGTTTAGTGTTTGTAAAGCAAGATTTTCAACGGGATGAATCATCTTTGAGAGACAGCCAAATTGATGAATGATTGCTTGTGATGTCTCAGTGGTATTAACAAAATGCTTTTCAATACAAGGAATGATAGGTTTAACCTCGACGCCAAATTATGTGGCTTTGTGAGTGACAAAGACAATAGAAACAGAATATTTTGACATTCCCTAATAGGGTTACAATTATTTTGTCCATGAACAATCATATCGTGTTTGTTGTCTAATATTATGCGACAATTAAATCATCAAAATGTGATTGTTTGTTTGCAATGACTCAGTGACAGAAATAAAATTCCCCTAAATCGACTTTTATCCATAATCCTCATCGTTTTATTTTGTGTGTCTTAAAGATGTATCATGGAAAAAATAGAACATATACAAATAATGTTTGAGTTCTTTAAGTTCTCAATAGCTATATTATTGGATAATGTTTGATGTCGAAGTTGACCAATCAATTGTTGTATTTAATCAATTTATTTTCTAAGGAAAATTCATTATATTTTCTTTTAGTATACTCACTGCATTCGATCAAAGTAATTTTGAATTTTATTTTCTTTGGAAATTATTATTCTTTTGTCCATAATGAAAGCTCGCCGTACTCGTCTTTTATCATTTTATTCGAAAAATCTTTGTACTTTGATAGGAAAATCACCTTTTTGTTTTAGATCCCAATCAGTTCATTATGTATTTTTCCTCAAATCAATGCTAATATTTGCCATAGACTTGAATAATTTGTGTAATATGAATAGAAATACATAAATAAATGACAATATAAAATGGGCTATTTCTCTGATGGGGGAGAATTTCGAGGTTGTCCAA